GTTTTCCTCTTGGTTTATAAAGACATTTTAAAAATATAAAATATTTACAAACTGTGGCTAAAAAAAGGTATAACAGTAATATTAATCATCATACCTACACCCATAAGTTCCACAGTAAGACTGGTAACTCCATTTTCTGAGCCCAAAACTGATCGCCATTCGAGAAAATAGGATGCTACTAAAGTGGTCTCACCAAATATGTCTGTTTTGATTAGCACCATGTGAATTGGATCACTTATTGATAACATTGTTGTTGAATCAGCCATTCTAGTTCCATCACCTGTCAATATAAACAAACAAACATATATACACATATATATACATATATATATATATATACACACACACATAACATTACATATTCAGTTAGGCCCACATAAAAGAATACTTTTATTGAAAAGGATGCTAAAAATAAACTTATATAAAACCAAACAGAATAATTTGGTAATGCCTCAGAAAGCATGCAACGGACTGGGAATAAAAAAGGTACAGTTCTATTTCTATCACAACTTTTAAGAGGACTGGTAGAATTGTGACAAGTTATCTAGATACTTAATGCATATCAGTGTTTTCTGATCACTAAGAGTACTTAAACTATATGCTACTACAATAAAAAGCCTTCAAATATGTCCACATTAATCCCAAACTACCTTTATCCCTTAACCTCCAGAAATAATCACTGCATTATCTACACAAAACTGAACGATCCAGCATCTTGGAGCTAGCAATTTAAGCTATAACTGCCTCATTAAGGTAACATTTTTCACTGGGGGGAAAAAATAAATTTTAGTGCTGCATTAGCCATCATAGTAATCTAAAATTCTGATGCTATACCTCTATAACTTTGTTAACTTTATAAATACATTATAAAGATTTCTACATTGACAACAAAAATGTATAAAATATCTTTATAGGAAAAAAGTGTAAAACAATTACAGAAATCAAAAATCATAATTCTAAAATGAATTACAGATTCATATCTAAACTTTGATTTTCAAAAAATTACATAACACCATAAATCTAATCATCTTTCATCAAAAGAATCACGACACTATACCCCCAGCAGTTGCCTAGCATAGTACCATTCACCTAACAGGTATTTAAATGTTGATTACTAAAGAATCAACCATTAACCAGTCAAAAATTAATCTTCAGAAAAAATTAATTAGCAGAAAATAAAGCAAGAAGATGGTAGAAATAATCTATATAGAAAAGAGCAGTGGGGGGAAAAAAAAAAACTAGTAAGATTCATCCATTATAAATCTCTCCTTGCAGCACAAGTTATCATTCTGCAATAAAACTTCACAAAGATTTACTCAGTTAAATAACATATTTTTGCTCCTTACCTAAGCTTTCTCTGTGTACTTCAAGTAAAAAGCCATCATGAAAATCTGGTTCACAGGCACATGGAACAGGTTTAGAACGAAAACGTTGGTTTCGAAAATGTAAACATAAAGTAAAGGTTGAACAAACTTGTCCCGGTAAAGGCTCAGGTTCTTGCAGATGTTCCAAGAAAGCTTTTCCACCCAAAACCTGAAGGTAAAGATACCTCCGTGTTGGATCAATATTAGCTGTAAAGTGTAGCAATATATATGAGGAAACTGCCAAATAACTTAAGGAATGTGATCAATAGGAAATAATAACTTGACAGATAAAACCAAAGACTAGGAAAAAAAAAACAACAACAAATTTACTGTATACCAGGACCATCTGCACCCAAGGAAGAAAAGATATATAATATGGTATCTTTTTCTGAGTTTATATTCTGGCTACTTTCTCTCAGCTAGAAAGAAGTCAGAGCCGAGGTTCAGGATAACTCTGGTGTTTAGTTGTTTAACCAACATTCCTTCATCTCCACAAACCAACTCAATTATCTCAACTCAGCAAAATGTACTTGTGAGATAATTACATTACCATTAAAGAAAACAGGCTATACAATTTTTATAAAATACATTTTTAAAACATGATACAGGTGGTCCTGTTTTGGCTTCTACTCTGCTATACATTAAATATTCTGATATACTTCATGCAAAATAGAAGCTAAATTTTTTAGATTAGTCACAAAAATGTATTTCATTCTGAAGAAAAAGTTGAAATGTTTTTTATCAAATATTAAACGCTAAGCACATCTATTCACAGTACAATCCATAACTAAATTAATGTTAAAAAGAAATACACATACTTTTTTTTAACAATGTTGACTGTCTATCAGTAAAACAAACTGGTTGTTTCGGAGAGGAAAGTTCTTGATCAACATTGTCCTGGAAAGACAGAAAAAAAATCAAAACAAATTAGAAGACAAAAATTGTAATTAAGCAAGAAAATGCCGATAACGAAACTAAGAAAAAAAGTAGATAGGATAAGCCCCCTCAAAAGGCCCCTTATTTTCCTTGCATAATAAAAATAATGAAAAGCCTGCAAAAGAGGTGATGCAAATGAGGTCACTCCTGAAGTCTAATATTAAGGAATTAAACTCGTCTTCAAGCAATGTACGCAAAATGCTAAACACAAATCTTTAATAACGTAAAGCAGATTAAACTTTTTTTAAACTTCATAGAACATTTGGCTTATGATTTTATCATGAACTGATTTTAATAAGGAAGTGACATTCACACAGCAGAAGCTATTATTAGGTCAATTTTTATACCAAATGGGTTTACAACCTCAAAAACTAAAAAAAGATATACTGTATTAAAATACTCATTCCCTGGTGTATTATGAAGTCCATCCAATTTTTACATTATATTACTCAGATATTGAGGTCACAATTTCTCATTATTGCCTCATTTTCAAAAGGCCTACTTACTAATTTGTACACTGGGAGGCTATCATCCCACTACTGACCTATTTGTATGAAAAGATTTGAAGGTTCTTATGCAGACAATTCTTTTCTTAAAGAAACTTATAATTTCTTAATCGCAATGACTACTGTTCCAAAAGAGTGTTTATTTTAAAAATAAGCCTAATTTTAAAAATTATAGAACATTATTAGTGAAAATAAACTAGATTAAAGTAAACCAATTTGACTACTATATATATATATACTTAAACTTATAGACCTAGAGATAACAAGAGAAAATTCTGTCACTGGATAGAGAGGAATATGGTATATAACAATTTCACTGATATATAACCCTAAATGCCACATTCAAGGGTGGAATTACCTTATACTTGAAACAAGGATAATACTAGACAAAACTGTCTTATTTTAATGTGGTTTTCCTAAAAGGAGAGGCCCCAAATATATGCGTAATGCCTCTCAATTTTTTCCCCTAAAAGATTACTCACAGTAACAAAATTAAGTTCTTTCATCACATCATCAATGATTCCCCGACGTCGAAGAGCTTTGATCAAATCTTCTGTTGATAACTGTTGCTGATCAGGTGCCAATTCTTCCCGTATTGTCTCAGCAAGGATTTCTCTTATTCTGCCATGGACATCCATCTGAGTAGAAAACTCACATTACAATTCACAACATTACAAAGCAGTTGAATATTGCCACTTAGTTAATTTCTTTCTGAAGTACTGACAAAGAAAAGAATAAATAGATAAATTAAATTCCGGAGGGCTTCTCAAGCTAATAGTAAATGTAAAATTGTTATCAGAATTCATTGAGAATAAACGTAAGATTTAAAAAAAAAAAAAATTTTAAGATAAAAAATTTTTTAGTACGAAATCTCGAAATAATCTCTACTGGTTATCTACTACCTTTGTTATTATTTCCCCACAAATACTACTCAACCAAAACAATCTTTTGAGAGTGTTTAGTATAATCAAAAGACAGACCAAGAGGAGGCGATCGAAGTATGAATTTCTCTTTTCAACTTATTAGATGTGACCTTGAGTTAACTTATTTACCCTTTACGAATCTGGAAAAAAATAGTGCCCTGTCAAGATCGCTGTAAGCCTTAGACAAAAGATGGTAAACACTCAGCACAAAGCCTGGCATACAAGTGTACATTAAACAGTAGCTTTTATTACTTCAGGCTATTGCATTCAGTTGAGCACATCAAAGACACAAATTCTTCCTCAGCTCTGAAGTATCAAATACCTACATCACAAATTCTTTAGTTACTTCTTTTTCATGACTTAAGAATAGCTAATTTGATTCAACATCAATGACACCTCAAGTTTCATCCTTAAAGTAATTCTAATTCCTAATCTCTGAAAATAAGCCTGCTCCAAACACAATTTAAACTCAATCTGACTTCTAGAAATCCCTGGATAAACGCTCCATTTTCACAACTGTCCTAAAATGCTAACGCCGTTCTACCACCTCGAACACTGGTTCTGGGCACTTTCTGGACTTGCTCTTTGTTTATCGAGCCTAGACAGTTCTTCTGGCTTCAAGCCCGCATCTGTGCCCATGCCGCGCTCCCCCTCTCATAGCCTTTGCCCGAGGCCATGGCAAAGAGGTGCCACAGTCGGCTCGGCCAAGGGGCACCTGGCTGGACGTGCAGGACCCCAGGGGGCACAAGAGCGTCCGAGGCCCCTCACCTTGCTCAGCTGCTGGTGGATGAGCTGCTTCAGCTCTGAGGCTTTCTCCGGGGGCAGCGACATGCTGGGGCGGGCGCGGCGCCGCGCTGCCGCCTCTGTCTGCTACAGGCG